AACTGCCCACAGCCCAGTGGGAGCCTAAGCAGTGCGGGACCCCTGGGCGTCGGGGGCCCGGGAAGCAGAACAGCCCAGTCCTGCCGCCTGCCACGAGCCAAGCGTAAGAAGCTGTCCTAGGGCACAGGGACATAGAGCCGAACATACAGCCACGCACACCCCTCGGGGCCACACTGCCGAGAGCGGGAGCCCTGAGCCGGCCCGTTCCAGTGGCATGAAGCAGCCCTTGCAGAGCGGTGTGACCGGGCACAGCAAGCCAGGCGCTCCCCTTCCCTCCGGCGACAGCCCGGGAGTCCAGAAAGCGTAAGAAGCTGTCCTAGGGCACAGGGACATAGAGCCGAACATACAGCCACGCACACCCCTCGGGGCCACACTGCCGAGAGCGGGAGCCCTGAGCCGGCCCGTTCCAGTGGCATGAAGCAGCCCTTGCAGAGCGGTGTGACCGGGCACAGCAAGCCAGGCGCTCCCCTTCCCTCCGGCGACAGCCCGGGAGTCCAGACAGACGGGGCCGGGCCAGCAGGAAGCACGAACGCCAGGCGCTCACCAGCAGGAGCCCCAATGAACTCTGCTCCAAGCAGCAGCTCTGCACGCTCAGCCCCGGGCGGGACCCACGCGCGCTAAGCCAGCAAATCACATTTGATCCAGTCACGTGAGAAGGGTCAAACCCAGAGATGGGCCAAAGCTGGAACTTCCGCTCCGAGGCTGGAACCGTGCACTCGGGGAACTCATTGCTGGGTTTTCCCATGCACATGCAGCTGGACGACTTTCACTTCCGGCCCGGGAAAACAACACAGCAAGAAAGAACAAAAGTAAAGTCTCCCACAAACGCCAGCCAGGTGGGCACGTCTGCACTGCAACGCGCTATCAATGCTGCCTCCTAAAGCGGCAGCACTCCCCGCGCGGGCGAGCTGCGCCAGAGCTGCAAGGGGCCGTGCAGAGAAACGAGCAGCAGCACATTCAGCGTCCTCCTTTGGGATTTGGATTCCCGTCCTCGCCCAACATTTAAACCCGCAGCTCGGCGCCACGGCAGAGCCCAGACCCGCAGGAGAACATCCGAGCAGCCGGCGGGGGGAGACCAAAGGCCCCTCCTCCCGTCGGCCCACAGTGGCCAGGGCCAGGGGCCCCGGGGGAGGGAACAGAACCGGGAATCACCAAGTGAACCTTCCCCTGCCGCCC